CCCCCCCTTTCCCCCCCCCCCCCCCCAATCTAGCCTGGACCCATGTGTGCCAGATCAGGCCCTACTGCCTCACCCCAGCTCCAGCCCAGCATGTACAGTGGGATCCCACATGTAGGACCATGCCATCTGACCCGTGAGGCCTGGAATTTTGGCAGTGGGGGGGCAGAGGCAGTATGACGTGCCACCACTCCACCCCCCCACACTCCCAGCCAGATTTCTGGACCCTTGCAGAGTCTGGTAGGCCACGTCATGCAGCTCTGTGGGCTAGATCTGGCCTGCGAATGAGGGGTTGAGCACCTGTGCCCTAGAATACACCATTCACAGTACTGAAAAACAGTTTGTTTTACTGTGCTTGAGGAATGAGCTTTCAAGCTATTCCACTAACACTGACCCATGAGTAGTGTGACTCTGGACCACAGTTTTCATAAATGACTAATGATTTCTGACTGCCTTAAAGTGAGCTTGATTTTTCAGAGAACTGACACTTGTCATCCTCTGAACACCCATCCACTGAACATCAGGTCCTTTTAAGAGTTTCCAGGCTGGACTCTCCAAAAATGGAGGCACCCAAAATCACTAGGCATGTCTTACTATCTTGTAATATTAAAAATTTGCTCCAGCACTTTATTGATTAGACAGCTAGTTTTTATTTTGTTCTTACAGCTTGTTCTTTTTTCCATGCAGCATCATGATATTACATCAGCAGTTAATACTTCTCCTAGGAACGTCATTGTTAGCAAGAGAAATCTTTGCATCAACAAGCTGCTTTTCAAAACACCAAATTTCCATGTATTATTTCTGCAATCTCACAGAGATTCCACTTGTCCCCAGTGACACTGTTAAATTTCTGCTAAGTTACAATAACATCAAGCAAGTGAATGCAAACTCCTTCCCTCTTCTAGAGCAGTTACTGCTTTTGGAAATAGGATCACAGTTTACCCATGGTGTTACAATAGGGAAAGCAGCTTTTGAGAACCTGCCAAACCTTCTAGTTTTAGATTTAGGAGCCAATACGCATCTTTATCTGGATCCGGATGCTTTTGTGGGTTTGTCAAATTTAATTGTTCTCCGGCTCTTTGGCAATGCTCTTGGGGATTACATTTTGCAAGATAACTATTTTCAAGATTTGATTTCTTTAGAAGATTTGGATCTTTCTTCAAACAGGATCACGAGCCTTCGTCCTCATCCCTTGTTTTACAATCTAAAATCTTTGAAAAGGGTGAACCTGAAAAACAACTGGATACAGATCTTGTGTGAAGGAAACCTTCATAGCTTCCAAGGAAAAACCTCTTTAATATTTAGTCTCAATTCTAATCACTTATATCGTCATTCGAGTTCAGTGAACTGGGCCAAGTGTGGAAATCCTTTAAGAAATATTAACCTGGACACACTGGATGTTGGTAGCAATGGCTGGAGTGTAGATATAGTACGAAACTTCAGCACAGCTGTAGAGGGAACTTCAATTACTTTTCTGAAACTCTCCCATCACATAATGGGTATGGGATTTGGGTTTACAAATATCAAAGAACCAGACAACTCCACATTTGCAGGGCTAGCAAGAAGTGGCCTGCGTTTGCTTGATATTTCACAGGGTTATATTTTCTCTCTCAACCCTTGTGTTTTTCAAAACCTCACTGATTTAGAATGGCTGAACCTTTACAAGAACAAGATAAATCAGATCCAAAAGGGAGCATTTTTTGGCCTGGGAAAGCTAAACTTTCTCAATCTATCATATAACCTTCTGGGGGAGCTGTATGATTTCACTTTTGAGGGGCTTCATAATGTAACCATTATCGATTTGCAGCAGAATCATATTGGGGCAATTAGGGAGAATTCATTCAAGGACCTACTAAGATTAAAGATGGTGAATCTCCGTGATAATGCTATTAAAATTCTTCCTCTTCTCCCGACCCTGACTACTACTTATTTAGGAGAAAATAAGTTAGTATCTTTAAGAGGCCGAACGATAGCGGCCACGTACCTTGACTTGGAAAGAAACAGGTTGGAAAACTTGGGTGACTTTTACATTCTTTCCCAAATTCCAGATATTCAGTATATCTTTTTAAAACAAAATCGTTTCTCATACTGTGTAAAACCTAATAATGTTACAGCAAACAGCCAGTTAATCTACTTGGATCTTGGAGAAAATATGATAAAGCTTGTGTGGGACAGAAATTTATGTCTGGATGTGTTCTGGGCACTTTCCAAACTTCAGGTCCTTCACCTGAACAACAACTACCTTACTACCCTTCCACAGGATATTTTTAGGGGCCTAACATCACTAAACAGACTCAACCTAGCCTCCAACCTGTTGTCTTACCTCTCTCCTGGTGTTTTTCCTGAGAGCCTGAAAAACCTTAACATATCTGGAAACCAATTTCTTTCTCCTGACCCTGGTGTCTTTATGACTTTGAGCATCCTGGATATAACACATAACAGGTATGTCTGTGATTGCACTTTAAGCAACCTGCTGTTGTGGTTAAATCAAACCAATACGACTTTAGCTGGTTCACAGGATGACGTATACTGTGTACACCCACCTGCTTTTGCAGGGGTTCCACTCTCTTTATTGTTATTCGACGGTTGTAATGAAGATGAAATCCTGAAGCCTCTACAGTTTGCAGTGTTCATCTTCACCTCGGTTGTTCTGGTAATGTTCATAACAGCAGTCATCACTTTTATTCACATTCGGGGGACTTGTTTTGTCTGGTATAAGACAATTACGAGAATTTTGGTAGATGACCTTCGTCAAACACCAGATACAAGTGCATATCTATATGATGCCTATCTATGCTACAGCAGAAAAGACTTTGAATGGGTTCAGAATTCTTTACTAAAGCACCTGGATTATCAGTATTCTGACAAAAACAGATTCACTTTGTGCTTTGAAGAAAGAGATTTCCTGCCAGGGGAAAATCATATCAATAATATCCGTGATGCTATTTGGAACAGCAGAAAGACGATCTGCATCGTGACGAGGCAGTTTCTCAAGGATGGGTGGTGCGTGGAAGCCTTTAATTTTGCCCAAAACAGATGCTTCTGTGATTTGAAAGATGTCCTCATTGTGGTGGTGGCTGGGTCACTTTCTCAGTATCAGTTGATGAAATACAAACCAATTAGAATCTTTATGCAAAGGAGTCGATACATGCGATGGCCTGAGGACCATCAGGATATCGGCTGGTTTTTAAATAACCTGTCTCACCAAATTCTTACAGAAAAAAGGGTGAAAAAGAAATCTAATGTTATGGAACTGCAATCTATTGCAACAATCTCATAGTTGAAAAAGCTGTTCATTAGGGGTGTGCAAAGTGGGCCCTATTCGATTCGGATTTGGCCCAAATCGGAGATGGTGATTCGATTAGTTGATTCAGATCGCTGTCCCCGATTCAATTCGGCCGAATCCAAATCTGAAGATTCGATGCCAATTCAAAGAATCAGCAATTTGGACATAGACACAGCTTTATATGTTTTTTCTACATACCGCAAGGTACCAGCGTGACTTGTGAATGCTGCAATGCTGGGGCATCCCACAGGAACGTGGGGGGTCCCCCCATGTGCTTGGTGGCAAACCCAGGAGTGGACCGGCAGTATTTCCAGTCCACTTCTGGGTCTGCTGGGGAGTGCACTAAGGGCCCCCCCCTGTGCCACACTGGCTCGGCGATCAGCCACGTGGGGACCCCAGGTGCCCTGCCCCCGATGCAGGAGGCACCTGTTGCTAAGCCGAGAGGGGGTGCGGGGGGGCCCAGCATGCTCTCC